GCTGCTATTTCAACCCTTTTTTCTTGAGTTATTTTAGGACCTCTAACAAAAGAAATGAGTACTTTTACTCACCCATACTTTTTCCAGCTTCAAGCACTTGGATCTGTTGCATCAAATAAGGCACTTCTCCATGCGGAACATCGGTTGCTTGGGCAACCACCGATTGAATGCGGTCCAATTCTTCCTAAAATGATGCTGATATGAAAATAACCATTAGAAAACAATGTATGGCCACCTTGAGCTTTCCGGCGTACGTGTGTTCCTCTCTAATCTGGATCCTCAACTCTTCAATTTCCTTGTCTTTCGAAGAGAACGATCCTGGACTAGTTCCTGCCGTTATAAACAACTACTTAATATGCAACGATGTTTTTGAGTGAAATTCATACCTGTAGATAGAGAAGAGATGATGGTTGCATTATCAAAATTTGGATTAACCAATGAAGTTTCCTTTAAAAATCAGCTTAGAAAATAGAAGCAACACAAATCAAACTAAAATGAGTATCTGCGCCACTTACTTTGTTATGAGCCTCTTCAAAATGTTCTGACAATGACTCAGGAGAATTGTAGTGTACCATGCATATTGGACAAAGAAATCCTTCAATTTCGTCATCACCATTATTCTGACTTGTGTCAGAGGACGAAAAGAATGAGGAATCGTCACGATTCTCACGAGCAGAGGGAGAAAGAACACCTGGCAACTGGAAAGGCTAAGCTGCTTTATTTGTTGCGATCGATTGTGCACACTCTTAAACACTACTTTAAAAGGGAGCGAACTTGTGCAAGAGTACTAATCTAAAGTTATTTATTGATCTGTGCTGAATTTTTCAATATTTTAAACAATCCATGTTTGTGAAAAGCAAAAAGTGCCTAGTATCGAAACAAGAGCCTACTGACTAGTTTACGTCGCCATGACGCCTCAGAACCTGAAAGAAATTGCAAAAAAACTTCATCGCTATGACAAAACTGCTCAAAATAATAAATAATGTTTAAAGTAGTCAGAATAAATTATGAATATAAGCCTAAAAGTTGAACTACCTCGTTTGCAACCTGACTAACTTGCGCTTTCAAACGCCGCAGCATCGTGGACGTCCTCCGTAACCAACTTGATC